CAGGCTGGACTTGCTCCTGGCTCTTGGGTAGGCAGAGCCCAGGACACTTAGAGTCGTGTATGAAACAACCTCAGAGTGTGGCTGGAGTCTGGCCATGGAATGCCAAGACACACAGGACCCACTGTTCCAGCCCAGGTCTCCAGGGACTGGGGCCCCAGGGAACAAATACCTGGACACTACCTCCTCCCCAACAGGCTGAAAGCACTGTGCACAGGCTGGGGTTATGGAAGGTGGAATTGGGAATTGGGATGGAGCTGGTCCATGGGCTATGGAGTCCTAGCAGGGAGGACGCTGCACAGAGGTGAGTCAACAAGTACCAGATAGTGGGACAATGCACCATTGTGAAGGGGCTCAGCAAAGAGGTCACAGTGAGACACCTTGGAAGATGCCTCATGGGGCTTCAGAGAGCGGAGAGGGGTCAGAGACTGGAGTGATCCTCTCAGGTGCTAAAACAAACACAGTCTGGGATGGTGTATTAAGTTTCCCTTAACTGTCAGAATACATCTGAAGTAAACAACAAAATAAAGGAGGAAGGATTTGTTTCGGCTCATGGATTCAGAGGTTTCAGCTTAGGGTCACTGGACTCTATTGCCTTTGGTGAGTCAGGACGGCAGGGCAGGAGTGGGTGGTAGCAGAGACTGTTCAACGTTTGGAGGCCGGAAGTGAAAAGAGATCCGGGAAAGGGTGGGGTCCATCTCCAAGAGTCCCCAGTCAACAGTCAAGTACTGCCCAGAAGTCTAAGTCCAAAGTCTCTTGTGAGGTGCAAGGTGAGCTCACAACTGGGAGCTCCCGTAAAAACAAGAAGTTACATACTTCCAAGACACAGTAACACAGAACAAACATTCTACTTCCAGTAGAAAGGATGGAACCAAGGCTGCCCAAACCTGTCAGTGTAAAATGAGGACTATTTGTACATCTGTTGTTTGAAGAAGAGTCCCCTGCCCTTCAAGAAGGGCTCATGAAGGACCCCTCAGCAAATTGTTTCTCCAGCATTTGTTTCTTTTGTCCAGCAGTCTAGGGACTCAAAGGCTATCCAGCCACAACTCAACAGGACACAGCTACTGCACCTGCTGGTGGCAGAAGACGTGTGACGACCACATGATCATGGTTTTGCTTCCATATGGAAGGCAACAGTTATGGGCTCATGGAGGCTTCCATCAAGACTTCAAAAGAAAGCTTGGGAAACCTGACATTGTGTGGCGGGGAGGAGGAGGGGGTCAGAAGGTGATGAAGGTTGACAGTAAAGACAAAGATGCCATTGGAGACTCCAGGTGGTGAGAGAAGCCAGGAACAAGGACCATCTGTTGAGGAAGTCATAGGCAAGAGGCAGAAATAGCTTCCTCTCCCATTCCCCAAAATAGCTATGTGGGCCCAACTCAGCAAGTTCATAAGGGCAGGACTTCCCAAGCTCTCAGAGGAGTTTGTGTATTGCCACCAAATGCATTGGATGCAAGATCTGGAGCGATAGGATTTAATATCAGCCCCCCCATGAGTTTCAGTTCCTCCTAGCTGTTTTCCTGGCCTGCTCTTTGGAGTAGGAATATATGTGGTGTGTCCTGTATCATGGGGATATATGGCTTACCTTGTTTTTATTCTTGCAGGGACTCAAAGCTAAATGTTTTCTTCAATCGCAGAGAAGACTTCATACTTGGACTCACATGCAAGGATTTTGAGCAAGAAACTGTGGATGACTATGGTGCCTGGGGCATGGTAATGACTACCCCCAAATCCTGGAACTCAGGATGAGATTTTGGAAGCCGAGCCTGCTTAGGCTACATAGAGGGACTCTGTCTTCAAAAGAAAAGCCTTTGGAGATGGATTGAATATATTTGTTATTGTTTAAGCACGAAGTGAAGTTTGCTGTTAAGCATGGAGTAAAATTTACAGGACAAACCGTACCTTGGTTAGATGCGTAGGATGAGTTATTCTTCACACGGAAAGAAAATCTTAGCCAGTTTATAAAGTGTGTCTTGGAGGGACGTTAGCCTGCCTGAGCATGGCAAATATGGCTCTGGCAGGCCTTACCTTCTCCCCCATTCTCCTTGCCTGGTTAAAAATTGTTAGATTACATTTCTAAAGGTAGTCACCAAAGGTTGTTCCCCTATTTGGCTACTTCCTCCTCCTGATGCAGACTTCCAAGGTCCAGATATCAAAGTATTAAAATCCAGTAATCAAAAGCCCCTTTGGCTCATCTAATTAACACGCCCAATTAAAGTTAAACACCGTATTCTAACACAGGGTTTCCCCGTGTACTTTTATAAACCGCCATTTGCTTATGTACCACATGAATCTCCTCTTTACCCAGAGGTAGTCTTTCATACCTTTGGAACAAAGACCCTGCTTCCCTGTTCCCTTCCAATTCTCCCTCGTCCTCTGTCTCCTGTGTTTGTCTTTTATTCTCTTCTCTGTGTTTCTCTGGGACAAATAAATCTCCTTTGTGCTGAGACCTTGGTCTTGGGGGGTTCTGAGCCTATACTGGTCCCTATACATTGTATGCAGACAGAGCACATTTTTGCACTGGGAGCCATGGTGGAATGCTGTGGTTTTGATGTGGGCTGTCCCCTAGAGGCTCCTGTGTTAAAAAGGCTCAATCCCAAGCTTGTGGCATTGTTGGTGGTGTGTGGAAACTTGGAGGTAGGACCTAGTTGGTGGAAGTTATGTCACTGTAGACCTTGAAGGGGATATCGGGCCTCTCTCTCTTCCTTTTCCCTTTTTACTCCCTGGCCTCCAGGAGGCGAACAGCATCCTATGCTACATACTCCCCGCCATGATGTTCCATCTTACCAGGCTTCCAAAGACCATAGGACCAAGTGGCCACAGGCTGACGACCACGCATAATCCCATGCACTCAAATACATTGTTCTTCCTTTTCAGTTGCCAATCTCAGGTATTTTGTTGCTGCATCAGAAAGCGTACTAGTAAAGTGGTGGGGGTTAATTTGGTTTCATCCATCTGTCCGTCCACTCATCTGTTCATCCATTCGATATATCACTTAAAATTCAGTAGCACTCACAATGCATGTGGACACGTATTTGAGCAGTGAGGCAGGGCCAGTCTCTTTGATGGTCTCTAGGGTCTAAATACAAGCAGTCTGAAGGAATGTTCACAAAGGGAGGCCATGGTATCTTGCATTAGTATCATTTCAATACCGGGCCCCTTGTGCCCATCTGAACAACAGTAGCAGTTACTGTGTTAAAAAAAAACTTCTGTTTAAATATCATTTTTATCACTTTGTGTGTGTGTGTGTGTGTGTGTGTGTGTTTTCTGTTTGTGGGTATGTAATGTCAGGGCAGGTGTTCAAGGAGGCAGAGGGTTGGGTCTCCTGGAGTTGGAGTTATTGGTGGTTGTGAGCCACCTGATGCAGGTGCAAGAAATCAGATTCAGGTGTTCTGGAAGATGCTCGATGTGCTCTTAACTGCTGAGTCATCTCTCCAGTCCTTCACTGTGTCTTTAAACATCTGCTGTAGATGTGCCAACTAAGTGTTGTGCATGTGATCTTACTTCATGTTTATGATAGCAGTACAAGAGAACCAAGACCTGAAACATTTAGGGATTTTGTTGAAGTAGTTAGTGAGAGATAGAATGGGGAAAAGAAGGGGATCCAAATCTGAAATTGGTGTTCCTGCACTCACGGGATCCTGGAGGGGTCTACCAAAGGCCTGCAATGGTGTCTGCATAGTGGGGTCTTTGAAATCTGGATGTGTAGCTCAGTGGTAGAGTGCTTGCTTAGCATGCGGAAGTCCCCCACAAAAACAATAACAAGCAAGCAGTCCAAACAGTTCAAACACCAGCCTGGCGTTGGTGGCGCACGCCTTTAATCCCAGCACTCGGGAGGCAGAGGCAGGCGGATCTCTGTGAGTTCGAGGCCGGGCTGGACTGACAGCTTCCAAAACAAAACAGAGAAACCCTGTCTCCTAAAACCAAAAAAAAAAAAAAAAAAAAAAAAAATCAAACACCAAGAGACTCCGGTTAGACCTATGGAGAAAGTCCAGCCACCCTCGTGTTTACAAAAGGAGCTGTGCATTTGTCTGGCTCACTTGTGGGTCTTTGAGCACATCTCCATTGACTTCCTAAGTTTGCATGATTGTGCTGAGTTCCTAAGTTACAAAGTTGTGGTGACCGAAAGACTTGTCTGGATAAAACATTTGGACCCATGCATGGTATATGTGAGTGCTTAGTAAACGTGGGCCATTTCATTACCCAAGGTTCTGTTTTCCCAAAGATTTTCCATGTCTATGTATTTGCAAGTCAACCCTATATCCTCTTTTTTTTTGGTTTGTTTCTCTGTGTAGCTTTGGGGCCTCTTCTGGCACTCACTCTGTAGAACAGGCTGACCTTGAACTCACAGAGATCCTCCTGCCTCTGCCTCCCAAGAGCTAGGATTAAAGGCATGCACCACCAACGCCTGGCACTATATCCTCTTTTTTATTTTTTAATTAGACAAGAGAATATACATAACAGAGAGTTTGACCATCCTAGGGTTGTTCAACAATGCTGCCACGTGCTTCAGTGGGCTGCAATGTTGGGAGAAACAGACAGAGAAGCCAGGCTTGCTGAGCAACGAGGGTCTTGAGACAAAATGGGGGCAGGGTTGATGTGAGAGGCTGCCTCGTCCTGCACTCTCTCCTCAGAGCTTACCTGTAACCACAGCCAACTCCCTCCTCACCCCATCTAGGAGTTAAGTATCCACTCCATGGTTTGTTTGTAGTCCCCATTCCTTCCCTCCTTCTGCTGGGCCCAAGTGCTCTCCTGCAGGGCAAAAGTGACGTCTTAGCATCTTTGAAGTCCTGCAGCTGGTACTCACCAGCTCTCCAGTAAGTCTATCTTTAAGAGGAAGAGGAAATTGCTCCAGCCCTAAAATAAGGGTGGTGTGGCCTGTGTGTATATGCGATGCCACCAGTGGCAACGAGTTGAATGCATTTGCTGTTTTCGATCCTCCTTCAGTGCAGTGGAAAGAGTTGACAAGGAAGGATCAAGATGTTCCTGGGAGGGACGGGTGGGGCAAGGGCGTGGAGGTCCAACCAGGATCACAAGGCTGATTGGGATCACTTGCTTCTGTCATTCTTTTCTAAAGCTCTTGAGCTTTTGTGAGGTAAGAGAACATTATCAGTTTGTTTCTGTGTCCGAGTGTCTTAGCATAAAGCTGGGAACAAAGATGGGCAAGTCCATGCTTAGCTGTGGCCTGGAAACGGGTAAGGGATCTGCCACCCCACGCCTGTGGGACATCATTCTTCTCCCTAAAGTCTCTTTCTTCCAAGCCTACCCTGGCCACGTTATCTTCATCATCACCCTCCTCACCACCACCCTGTGTCTTCCCCTCACCCCTTAGGAGAAACCTGAGGGGACAGAGCTAGCGCCGAAGAGAGTCGCCTGCCCAGATCTGATCAAGACACAAGTGAGAGGCAATGATTTGTGAAGAAATCCTGGTCCTGGCGAATGGAATTTTCCCAAAATAAATTCATGTAAACAACTTCCCACAAAGAGGCAGTCAGGGGAGCTGGGAGTATAAACAGTGGGAACAGTTGTAAGCACTATGGGCTCCAGGGGTGCCCTGTCGTCTGGAGGGGGGCTGTGGGGAGACTCCCTTTAGCAAAACACCTTTGGCTCCAGTCCTTCTGACATCATAATGTCAGCCAATTCATTAAAAAAAAAGAAGGTCCTTATTTTAGTATCATCCCCCAAACATAGCATGGCCACTTGGTAGCTAAAGATGGATTTTACTTAAAAATTTTTTAGCCTATTTCAAACCAAATCAACTGGGAAGAAGGCATGCTTGTGTAGAGGTGGGAACTGAGTTGGGGCCTTTGGAGAAGATGGAAGGAAAGGGTGGCTAGGGAAATAGAAATAATGTCATTTTGGTGCTCTGGGACGGAATCAGAGCGAACACATCATTCCTAGAATTAAGACGAGATCTGCTCTTTGGTAGACACTCAGAAGGACACTGAATTCCTGTGGCCCGGATGTCTCTGGCTGTGGACCAATGGGGGCCTGTGGAAAGCTAGAGGGCGTAGAGTTGAGCAGCCCGAGTTTCCGGAACGAAGTGTTTGCGGGGCATCTTCGTGGGACACGCCTTTCCCCCAGACATTTTTCCCCAACCAAGTCTGACTTGCCCAAACCCGAGCTGTTTTCAGGATCTGGGTTGGATGATGTTTCCTTCCTCCCGTAACCATGGCCTAGAGACAGGAGACACACACTCGAGTTTGGCTGGGCCACTGTGACACTATTGTAAGACTTCCAGCCACTCATCTCATTTCTCAGAGCCTCAGATCCCTCATGCACAGAGTGAGGGTCCGGAAAAGCCGTTTCAGCCCCGTGTGCTTCCCACGACTGCAAAGATCAGGTTGGGAGGGAGCTTCGAGACTCTGGGGTTTTATCTGTTATCACGAGTATCATTCCAACTTTGCTTAAGTTCTATCTGGGATCAGTTGAGTTTTGGCGAGAATTCACCTCTCTATGCAATAATCAGGACCAAGGAACCAGGAGAGGAGGGTGCCTGAGCCACTGGAGCTAAGAAGGGCCAGAGAGAAGAGGAGGCCAATAGGACATCAGGATTTCTCTGCCAGCCTTTTCTGGTAGCCAAGTTTCAATCTGTGTCTGCCTGACTGTGAGTTTTCATTGTCTACCTCCTGGGCAGAAGGACTGGGTAGTCCCACTTTCCCATGTGACTCTACAGTATCCTCCCCCTCCCAGCCATACTGGCTTAGCTACCTGATTTGTTTGGCCCAATGAGATGCTAGAGGCATGTTCACAGGCCCAAAGTATTCTTGTGCAACGTGGCCTCTGGTGCTCCTGGGATCTGCTGTGAGAACATTCCCTGGTTACTGCAGGTCCAAGAAGAATGCGTGGGGCCACGGATAGCTCTGAACCCAGCCCAAAGCTCAGAGACAAGCCAGCTGACCCGCAGCCAACTCATCTGAGAGTGACACAAATAAGTGGTTGTTACTGTAGGTCACTGAGCTCTGGGAAGGGCTATGACGGTGCATTCTTGCTGGTAGATAGTCTGATAATGGCAATGAGGCTAACACTTGCATAATTCCGTGGCAACTGAGACTTGCAAGTGAAGATGTGGTTTTGATGTGCATGTTTCCGTTAACACGGTACCATGGAAATTGAGAAGGCCTGTACTAATTAGAAGCTGCCCCTATAGAAAATATTATGTCTCCTGCAAAGGGTGAAGAGTATGTATAAGACACTGTGCAGTTTCATGAGTAGTATGTGTAAGACACTGTGCAGTTTCATGAGTAGAAGAACTTAGTTGCTCTGAAGTCAGACTGCCTCTAGCTGGAATGTTGGCTTTGCTACATCAAATTGTGAATTTAGGTAAGAGACTGTTTTCCTGGGTCTTAGGTGCTGCGTCTTTAAAGTTTTTTTTTATTGTTGTTTGTTTTTTTGAGACAGGGTTTCTCTGTGTAGCCCTGGCTGTCCTGGAACTCACTCTGTAGACCAGCTGGCCTCGAACTCAGAGATCCGCTTGCCTCTGCCTTCTGAGTGTTGGGACTAAAGGCATGTGTTGCAATGCCTAGGGGCATTTCAACTTTTAAATAAGGATTGTGACCATTTTTATGAGAAGGGCATGTTGTATGGACATTTCTGGTGTAACACCTTCTACCTGGTGAGTACTTAATAAAGCCCATTGATTTTTAGCCATTTATTTTTTCATAATTTAAAAAGTTATTTTTACGTGTATGAATGTTCTACTTGCAAGTACATCTGTGCATCACTTGCATGCTTGGAGATTCTGAGGGCCTGAAGAGGGCGTTGGATCCCCTAGAAGTGGAGTTACAGATGATTGTGAGCCACCATAGGGGTACTGGGAATTGAACTCCAGTCTTCTGGAACATTCAGTGTTTTTAACTGCTAAGCCATCTTCCCAGCCGTGAACTATTATTCTTGATTTGAAGTAATACTGATATCAGTTAAGCAATGTCCTCATTAAGGGTCAAACAGTGAAAACTGTGACTTGAGGGACACATTGGTTCCATTTGCCTTCTCTGAGAGGACAGTCATCATTCCCTTAGGTAAGGACCTCCAGGTAGCCTGGACCAACTGATGTGATGAGGATACCCCCAGGTATTCTCACACCCTGCTCTCCATCATGAGGCCTTTGTCTTCACAAGTAGCTGTGCACTTCTAGGAAAGATGGCTGCTCTGGCCGAAGAAAGGGTGGAGACAGAACCATTCATTTTATCTGTCTGTCTGTCCATCATCCATCCATCCATCCATCCATTCACTCATTAGTTTGTTTGTTTATTTATTTATGATAAGCTCTCTCATTGGTCTGGAGCATGCCAGGTAGGTTATGCTGGTTGGCCAGTGAGCCCAAGGGATCTGTCTGTCTCTGCTTTCCCAGTGCTGGAATGACAAGTGCCTGCCACCGTGTCTGGCTTTTTTTTTTTAAGGCAGGGTTTCTCTCTTGGAGGCTGTCCTGGAACTGTCTCTTGTAGACCAGGGTGGTTTTGAACTCACAGAGATCCGCCTGCATGCACCACCACCGCCCGGCCATGTTTGACTTTTTTTTAGATGAGTTCTGGCAATCACACGCAGGCCCTTATGTTTGCAGGCCCTTATGTTTACTAAGTGAGCTCCATCCTTCAAATGCTTTGGAACTGGCTGTCCTTTCCCGTCACCCCCAGCTGAAGCCACCTCTACTGCTCTGACAATATTAAAACAGGGGTCACAGCAACTGGATGTTTCCTATGAGGCATGTGACTTGATTTTGCTTCTTATAGCTTCTTCTGGGAGGCAGAACAGGCTTTTCAGCCCCCTTGTGGGAGAAGCTGCGTCTTGGCCCTTAAACTCAGATGTGCAAATACTGGATTTGAATTGGAGTTCCTGTTTCGGTTCTGTTGTGGGGGTTAAACTTGACCATTGGTCAATTCTCTTCCCTATGGGTCTTTCACTGCCGATGGTGCTTCTCTTGGGGGTTTTGCTAGAATTCAGTCATGTGCTCATGTTTACCTGCAGAAGCATCTGGGGAATGTAGTCTACCTATATGCCCAGAACAAGGAGACTGGTAAACAGCTGGCTGCCTGGGCCACACTGTTGTTTTGTGCCTGTGTGTGTGTGTGTGTGTGTGTGTGTGTGTGTGTATGTGTGTATGTGTGTGCATGCGTGTGCATGCACCCACATATCTGTGCCTGCCAGAAGTTAATGTTGGGGTGTCTTCCTCTATCCTTTACCTGACACAGTCTCTCACTGAACCTGGAGTGTACCCCTTTGGCCACACTGGCTATGTTGGGGTTCTAACTCAGGTCTTCATTCATGAATGGCAAGCACTTTACCAGTTGACCTGTCTCCTTTATTCCTACATTGTTATTTCTTTGTATGGGGAATCCTAGTCTTGGATCCAACAAGCAAATTCTAACTCATCTTATAGTTGTTATGACATTAGACCCCAGCCCCCTCTTTGGTTTTGATGTAGTTTTTATTTATTTATTTTTTCTGAAGAGACACGCTATAAAGTTACCTAATGAGTTAAGAGCCCAATAAACAGACAGAATTCTAAGGAAACTGGCTAGTGACTATTTCCCAGTCCTATACTGACATTTGCATGGCCACTAAATCGTGGAGACAGGGCTTGGTCTTGAACCCAGGGCTCCATAATACAAAAGGCCTCAGTCCTTCCCTTGAGTCAAGAATTCAGGAGAACCTGAACTCATCCACCGTTTGACGGGTGATGTCTGGATAGATTTGGGATGTTGTAGGGATGAAACAGGTGAGCTCAAAATATCTGACAACTTGACCTGGCAATGATGGCACAAACCTTTGATCCCAGCACTCAGGAGACAGAGGTAGGCGGATCTCTGAGTTCAAGGTCAGCCTGGTCTACAAAGCAGTCTTTAGCTGGAATCTGCTTCCTAGTGGATTCATGTCAGTCTTTCTCCTTGTAACCCACTTGTCCAGTCTCCTATCTCAGCTCTTTTCAGTCCTTTTTAATTAACACCCTCTACACTAACTTTCTTACTCAACAGTATGCCCTGTACTGCTGCTGCTGACTGGGTCAAATTGCTACCAAGACTGGGTTTTCAGCTACTGTTTGCTTACAGTTCAAGCCTATTGTGCACTCCTATATTCTGGGCTATGTTTTGTGAGCTTCCAGAATGACAAACTGTCATTTTCTGTCCCGACTTCCTGGTCCCAAATAACCAGTCTAAGGCTTATATTAATCATAAATGCTCGGCCAATAGCTAAGGCTTATTACTAACTAGCTCTTACAACTCAACCTATTTCTATTAATCCATGTACTGCCCTGAAGCTCATGTTCCATTTTGTATGTCTGACTTGTTCTCTGTCTGGTTGGTGATTTTTGGGACTCTACCTTTCTTCCTCCCAGAATTCTCTCTACCTCAAGTTATGTCACCCAATCTCTTCCTGCCCATTTATTGGTCAATCAGATATTTTTATTAACAATGAGAGAATGCACATTTACAGTGTACAGAGATTGTTCCACAGCAACTCAGAAAGGACATTGTGAGTCTATTCCTTCATATTACTTGATAAATGTATCTATATGTTCTTATTCCCAAATGCATATTCCTACAGGTATTTATTTCTTTGATATTCCGCATTCTCTTATGGAATGATACGTCTGGCATTGCCACAACTGACTTTTTTGTCTCCCTGCTCATTTGGTCCTTCTTCAGTCTTCATTCACCTGAGTTAAAGGTCTTCATCGTCCACGCTCCATTGCTTCCCAAATCCAGCCGACCATCAAGTTGTTTGTCCATATTTTCATGTGCATTGCTACCATCCCAGCTGTCTCCCTGGTTACAGTCACTTCTTTTAAGATGTTCTGGGTTAGGTACCCATGGTTATCAGCACAGGGGTTTTTAGAAAACACAAACTAAGTTATGTCTGCATACTCTGTCCTCCTGGCTTCCCTCTGATGTAGAGTGAAATGTTGATCTCTCATGTAGCCCCAGGGGAGCTGAAGGCAGCCTGCTTTTCCAACCCTTTTTCTCTTGTTGGCCACATGGTCAGCTACCCTGGACTCTCCTCTCCTGGTTTCTGATGGCTCAGTGTTCTTGGCCACCTCCAGGTTTTGGCATCTATCCCCATAGCTCATCACCTTTATCCTGCACATCCTTTTCGTCTCAGCTTAAATGTCATTGCTCGTAGCCTAATTCCATTGCTTCCTCTTAGTCTTTCTAGTCTCTCTGTTAACACTACCCATTTCCCCCTCCAACTGCTCACGGTTGGGGATTACATAGCCCTTCCTCTTCTGACTGTAAACTTTGTAAGACAAGGACCAAGACTTGGGGCTTCACAACTGCAGTTCAGACTTGGTGCATAGTAGATGCTTAAGAAACAGTGCTTTGTTGCATGACAGCGAATGTCTAGCAAACTCTCACATGTGTCCAGAAGTCTCTCGAGTCTGACTATGCTATTGTATTTCATTTACTCTTTCCTATAACCTCATCTTTCCTTCTCTAAGGAAGTGAGGCCCCAAGAGTTTCAAGTAACTAGTGCAAACCCATCCAACTAGGAAGTTGTAAATTTGGTTATGAATTCCAGTCCCAAGTTTCTTATGGCCTTGCTCTCTGCTGAAGAGTGGATGTGCTCAGTAGGTGTGCAGGAAACGGAACTTCCGGGGTGGGAGGGGCCACTGGTAGTTTCCTCTCACTTCCCTTGGAATTTATGAGGAGAGATAGTGGAGTCTCTGTGTGACTCACTCCCCTGTGGTACTTTTCCTGAGCTCCTCCAGGCCTTGGCGCTGAGGTTTCAAGAGCAGAAGATGGAAGTTGCCAATGAGAAGGTCACATTGGAGAGAGGAGTCCCTGCTGAGAGGATTGGGGCAGTGGGTGTCATCAATGTTAAAGTGTGTGAACGGAAGGCCTTTCTGGGAATGTTCTGGGTGACCAGTGGTTCTCAACTTTCCTAATGATGAGACCCTTTAATACAGTTCCTCATAATGTGGTGGCCCCAACCATAAAATTATTTCATTGTTACTTCATGACTATAATTTTGCTACTGTTACGAATTGTCATGTAAATATCTGATATGCAGGATATCTGATATGAAACCCCCGAAGGGGTCAAGACCCACAGGTTGAGAACCACTGTTGTGGTCTCTACAGTAGAGTTTCTTTCTCTGCAACCCTTGGGGAAAGGGGATCAAAGGTGACAAACAAATCTTAAACATGGCATCGTGAACAGCCAACAGCTTCATAATTAATATAGCCTCCTGTCTGTTCATTTGGAATGATGCGGCTCTGGGACCAGGCTGGCGGGAAGAGTACATGTTACAGCACTGAATTGAAGAAAAATCTGTTTCTGGAATCTGCAAGCAAGGAGGCAGCTTAGAAGATGCGGCGGGCAGGCGTGGAGGAACTTCCCGGCGGCCTCTGCCCTTTTCAGCTCGTCCTCTCTGAGTCCGGTCCACCTCTAAGGAATGCCATCTGCAGTCCCAAGCACATGCCGTGTCGTCTCGACACTACCCCTTGCCCACACTGACTGCAGACTCCTTGAGGTCATTGATAGAATTATTCATTCTTTGTTTTCCAGGTCCCCACTGTGCCTGGGATACAGCAGGTTTTCATACACTTGCTGAATGGTTGAATCATTCCAACTCCATCAGCCTGCATTGGGCACTTCCCTCTCTGTGCTGCTTCCTGAGCAGCATACAACTCAGCAGAGTACCTGGT